TGGAACCAATTTGATGGTAAATAATTTCTTTTAGTAACAATAAGAATGATTCTCTCACACCCATACCCCCCATTGCTGTTCATGTCTCCGGGAGCAGTAAGCTCAGAGAGTTTTTATCACGTGGCATTTTTTAAGTGCTTCATAGGGTCGCATGACTGATCTATGACTTGAAGGCACAATAACAACAACAACATAGAGCTCTGTTGGCCTAGTGGATAGAAAATTACCCTAGCAAGCCAAAAGTGGATGATTTTAATCTGCGGCCCTCAGGCCTGGTTTAAATTGTTTTTGGTCAAACATCTTTCTAAGTGGTATAGCACTGGTCTGTGCATTGCTGTGCAGAGATAACGCGTGGTTGCTGTGACGCTACACACCAGGACACTGACTTGTCAAATGCGATCATGGTTACCCATGGTGGACAGTGTTTGGTGGAGCTCCCCGATTAAAACAAGCTTGGAAGCAGGAGTGGCATCCACTTCCAAAATTAGCTTGCCTCCAGAAGACCTACGAACTTAAGAGAAATGATGAAAGTTATAAAAGCGTTCAGGTCTTTTGTTCGTAAGGTCATTATGAGTCCTCTACGACTCAACTGCACTTAACAACAATTTGCAACAATATTTGCACTCCTCTGTGTGGTGTATAAGTGAGTGGCTTCCAGCAGTTCAAACCCATATTGTTCATTTGCTGTTAGGCACCTTCGATTTAGAACTGATTCAATAGCTGACCCATCAGTGAGTTGTCAGAAGCAGTTGGTCGAATGGGAGGAGACTGTCCATCTTTCTCCTGTGGAGCATCTGGTAAACTGAAACCGCGTGCCTTTGGGTTTGAAAGTGCAACCTCTTAGCACAAAGCCACCAGAGCTCCCAACTGTCTGTCAGTTAACTGTAAATTATATGCGGCTTTTTGTCTGTGTGGGAGGTCGAGCCCTAAGTCCTATACTGTTGAGGGGTCAGTTGTGTAAGTGAACTGTGGGGCTACTTTATTATGGTATCTCTGTATTGTTCAAGGGTCAGCTGTATTCTAGTGGGAGAGCCAAACTCTGGATTATTGTTGTTGTGAGAGTGCCAGCTGGTGGATTTGAACCCTGGGTACCTAAGAGCAATGGTGTCACTCTGGAGACTAAGGTGCATCTGATACAGGCTACGGTCTTTGCAATCACTTGTTATGCATCAGAGAGCTGGACAATGACTAGGGAGGACAGAAGGAGAATTGATGCCTTTGAGCTGTGGTGCTGGAGAAGAGTATTGAGGGTACCATGGACTGCTAGGAAAAGAAACAGATTTGTCCTGGAAAGGGTTAAACCAGGCTGCTCCTTGGAGGCAAGTATTCTTGGGCTCCGTCTGACATACTTTGGACATGTTGTAAGGAGAGACAGGTCTTTGGAGAGGGACATCATGCTGGGCAGAGTGGAGGGACAGCATAGGAGGGGAAGGCCCTCTATGAGGTGTACTGATGCAGTGACTGGGATAATGGGTGTGTCAGAGACAGTGCAATTGGCACAGGACAGAGCAGGGTTTAGGGCTGTTGTACATAGGTCGCTATGAGTCGCAAACGACTCGACAGCACATAACAACAACCACCTTTGTTCGTGTCGTAATTCCATATTTATCTTTGGATAAATAAGCAAGTAACCAAAATTGTTTTCAGAGATGGTCTATGAAGGGATAATGCCAGGTGGCATGACTTCGGAGCTCTGGAGGTACAGTGTATAGGGAGTTAACAACTGTGCTTTGAATCCACCAGTGACTCCTGCCACTCTTCCCATGTGAATTACAACCTTGGAAAGCCAGCAGAGGCTCAGCAGGGATCAACAGCCAAGAGTTGTGACTGTTGAGACACCAGTTAAGTGCTTGGCCGCTCGCTCACCACTGGTGGTTCCAGTACCCAGAAGCTCACCCTGGGAGAAGTGACTTCGCAGTCTGCTCTCCATAAAAAAATGACAGCCTAGAAAACCCCCATGGTGCAGTTCTGCTCTGTGACATGGGATTGCGATGAGTTGAAACTCAAGTTGATGGCGTCTCATGAGGGCAAAATGCAAACCTCCTGCCACAGAACGGATTCCTGCTTATCAAAAGTCAGAGTCATGGCTGTGGAAACAGACCCAACTAATAGCTGGCCCTCCAGCGGGCTTTCAGAGTCTGTAGAGAGCATGCATGGTCCATCTTTCTCCCACGGAGTGTTTGGGGGATTGGAATCTTCTGCCTTGGGGTTGGCAGCGCAGCTTTCTAGCCACCAGAGCTCATCTAGATAGAGCAGAAGTGTCGCACTGGCTTCTCAAGGCTGTAAATCTTGACAGAAGCCCTTAGAGTATCTGCTGGGTTCAAGCTGCCTACCGTTCAGTTAACAACCAAGTGCTTTAACGGTTTCACAATTGAGCACAGGCCTTTTTTCTTTTCTTTTCTTTTGATGTGTATGTACCGTCAAATCAGATCTGACTGGTACAGGAGGAGATCGTCCCTCCTTCCCCGGCAGAGCAACTGGTGGATTCGAACCGTGCGCCTCTGGGATTGTAGTTGCAGCTCCTTGCCACTAGGCCACCAGAGCTCCCCTGAGCACAGGCCTTTTAAGACACCCAGGGGCCTTGGAATGAGCCACATGACCAGAGAGGGTGGGATTCTTGGTCTCAGCTGCAGAGGAGCTACACAAAGACTTGAGTGTGTAGATGAGCACAACGGGGGCCTCAGTAAAACGTCAGGCTTGGGCTGAAACATCTGGAAAGATACTAAAACATCGGGAAAGATGCAAACATCTGGAAAATCAGTAGAGCAGAAGATTGTGAGAAGAGTGGATGGATTTAGGATTGAGACTCACATATTAGATCTGAGGTCCTCAAGAAGTCCGAGGGACCCTGGGTGGGGTCTTGTGCATCCTCTGGGCTCCCAGGGTGTCCCAGGATGCTGGGGGAAGGGGGTGCCCAGTCGCCCCAGAGTCAGCCTTGACCACTCTGGGTTCTAAGAAGAGCAGAAGAGGGTGCTTTAGGACGCACCACCTTCAGAAGGGCCGGAGTGAAGAGGGGTCCGTCTGGACCTCAGTGTGACTCGGGCAGGTCAGCAGCGGCTGCCTGGGCTTCAGAAGGCTGCGGGGACCCAGCATTGGGGTATCTTAGAGAAAACTTCATCTTTCCAGGGATGCCTACCAGACCGGGTGGGAGAGGAAAAGGAAGACCCGCGACCCCTAAGCTGCACCTCGAGAAAAGGCAAGTAAGTACGTGGCCACCGCAGATGGGGGCACTCACCTGTGCACACTCACCGCCGCGCGCGGAGCTCCTTCCTGCAGCCAAACGCAGAAGCAGCTGAAAGGACTACGACTCCCAGAAGCCCCTGGGCAAAGCTGCCTACCATTCCCAGCATCCTACGCGGCGCCTTAATCTCTTAAGGGAAATAAGGGCTTGGCCTACAACTCCCAGAGGACTTTGCGGCAATGTCCAGGTCTCGCCTACAATCCCCAGAATGCCTAGCTGTATCCAATCTGCGTCCTGCGCTGGAGAAAGTGTCTTTTGCAGCGCGCTGTGTGTTCTGTGCAGTTTCTTTCAAAGGTGAAATGACTATTTTC